CCCCTTTCTCCATATCCTCACCAAAATTTGTTGTTCCCTGTCTTGTTAAGTTTTGCCATTCTAACTGGTGTAAGGTGGTATCTCATTGTGGTTTTGATCTGAATTTCTCTGATGGTTAGTGATGTTGCCCATTTTTTCATGTGTCTGTTAGCCATTGTATGTCTTCTTTGGAAGAGTGTCTGTTCATGTCGTCTGCCCATTTCCTGACTGGATTATTTGATTTTTGGGTGTTGAGTTCAAGAAGTTCTTTATAGATCTTATATACCAGCCCTTTATCTGTTATGTCATTTACAAATATCTTCTCCCATTCCGAAGGTTGCCTCTTAGTTTTGTTGACTGCTTCCATTGTTGTGCAGAAGATTTTCTATCTTGATGAAGTCCCAATAGTTCACTTTGGCTTCTGTTTCCCTTGCCTTTAGAGATGTGTCTTGCAAAAAGTAGCTTTGTCCAAGGTCGAATAGGTTGCTGCCTGTGTTCTCTTCTAGGATTTTGATGGATTCCTGTCTGACATTGAGATCTTTCATCCATTTTTAACTTTGTGTATGGTGTAAGGTAATGGTTCAGTTTCGTTCTTCTGCATGTGGTTGTCCAATTTTCCCAGCACCATTTATTGAGGAGACTGCCTTTTTTCCATTGAATATTCTTTCCTGCTTTGTTGAAGATTAGTTGACCATAGAGTTGAAGGTCCATTTCTGGGCTCTCTTTTCTGTTCCATTGATCAGTGTGTCTATTTTTGTGCCAGTACCATGCTTTCTTGATGATCACAGCTTTGTAATATAACGTAAAGTCAGGCATTCTGATACCCCCAGCTGTGGTTTTCTTTTTCAACATTCCTTTGGTTTTTGGGGGTCTTCTCTGGTGCCATACACATTTTAGGATTATTTGTTCCAGTCCTGTGAAAAATGTCAATGATATTTTGATAGGGATTGCACTGAAAGTTTGATTGCTCTGGGCAGCATAGACGTTTTCCCAATGTTTATTTTTTTAATCCATGAGTATGGAATGTTTTCCCATCTTTTTGTGTCTTCCTCAATAGCTTTTGTAAGTGTTCGGTAATTTCTAGCATATGGATACTTTACCTCTTGGGTTAGGTTTATTCCTAGGGATCTTATGGTTTTTGGTGCAATTGTAAATGGGATTGATTCCTTAAATTCTCTTTCTTCAGTCACATTGTTCATGTATAGAAATGCAACTGATTTCTGCAGGGAGATATTGGAAGATAAACAGAGGGGGGAAGAAGCATTGATTTTGAATCCTCCCACGTTGCTGATTTGCTGTATGAGTTCTAGTAACTTGGGTGTGGAGTCTTGGGTTTTCCACATAAAGTATCATGTCATCTGCAAAGAGAAAGAATTTGACTTCTTTGCCAATTTGAATGCCTTTGTTTTCTGATTACTGAGGCTAGGGCTTCCAGTATTATGTTGAACAACAGTGGTGAGAGTGGGCATCCCTGTTGTGTTCCTGACCTTAAAGGAAAAACTCTCAGTTTTTCCCATTGAGAATGATATTCACTGTGGGCTTTTCATAGATGGTTTTTATGATATTGAGGTATGTTCCCTCTATCCCTATATTTTGAAGAGTTGTAATCAAGGAAGGTTGCAGTATTTTGTCAAATCTTCATCAGTTGAGAAGATCATGTGGTTCTTGTCCTTTCTTTTATGAATGTGATATATCAGGTTGATTGATTTGCAGATGTTGAACCAGCCTTGCATCCCAGGAATAAATCCTACTTGGTCATGGTGAATAATCCTTTCAATGTACTGTTGGATCTTATTGGCTAGGATCTTGGTGAGTATTTTGGCATCCATGTTCATCAGGGATATTGGTCTGTAATTCTCCTTTTTGATGGCGACTTGTCTGGTTTGGGATCAAGGTAATGCTGGCCTCATGGAACGAGTTTGGAAGTTTTCCTTCCATTATTTTATTTCTGAAGCCTTCCAGCTTCAGAAGAATAGGTATTATTTCTTTTTCAAATGTTTGGTAGAATCCCCTGGGAAGCCATCTGGCCCTGGACTCTTGTTTTTTGGGAGGTTTTTTATTACTGCTTCAATTTCCCTGCAGGTCTTTTCAGATTTTCTATTTCTTCCTGTTTCAGTCTTGGTAGTTTTTAAGTTTCCAGGAATGCATCTGTTTCTTTCAGATTGCCTAATTTGTTGTCATATAGCTGCTGGTCATAAGTTTTAACAATTGTCTCTATTTCCTTGGTGTTGGTTGTGATCTCTCTCCTTTTATTCATGATTTTATTAATTTGGGTCCTTTCTCTTTTCTTTTGGATAAGTCTGACGAGAGGTTTATCGATCTTATTAATTCCTTCAAAGAACCAGCTTCTAGTTTTGTTGATCTGTTCTCCTATTCTTCTGGTTTCTATTTCATTGATTTCTGCTCTAAACTTTATTTTTTCTCTTCTCCTGCTTGGCTCAGGCTTTATTTGCTATTGTTTCTCCAGCTCTTTCAGGTGTAAGGTTAGCTTGTGGGATTTTTCGAATATTTTGAGAGAGGCTTGGATGGCTATGTACTTCCCTCTTAGGACCGCCTTTGCAGTATCCCATAGGTTTTGGACCAACGTGTTTTCATTCTCATTGGTTTCCATGAATTGTTTAACCTCTTGTTTAATTTCCTGTTTGGCCCAATCATTCTTTAGCAGGATGGTCTTTAACTTCCAAATGTTTGAATTCCTTCCAAATTTCCTCTTGTGATTGAGTTCCAGTTTCAAAGCACTGTGGTCTGATAACATGCAGGGAATAATCTCAATCTTTTGGTATTGGTTGAGACCTGATTTGTGACCCAGTATGTGGTCTATTCTGGAGAAAGTTCCATGTGCACTCGAGAAGAATGAGTATTCTGTTGTTTTAGGGTGGAGTGTTCTGTATCTATCTGTGAAGTCCATCTGGGCCAGTGCATCATTCAAAGCTCTTGTTTCTTTGTTGGTCTTCTGCTTAGATGATCTGTCCATTGCTGTGAATGGTGTGTTGAAGTCCCCTACTATTGATGTAATATTATCAATATGTTTCCTTACTTTGGTTGTTAATTGGTTTATATAATTGGCTGCTCCCACGGGAGGCATAAATATTTACAACTGTTTGATCTTCTTGTTGAATAGACCCATTAAGTATGATATAGTGTTCTTCTTCACCCCTTACTACAGTCTTTGGTTTAAAATCTAATTTGTCTGATATGAGGATTGCTACCCCAGCTTTCTTTTGAGGTCCATTAGTGTGGTAAATTGTTCTCCACCCCCTCACTTTCAGTCTGAAGGTGACTTTAGGTGTAAAATGAGTCTCTTGTAGACAGCATGTTGATGGTTCTTGCTTTTTTAGCCAATCCTATACCTTTGTCTTTTGACTGGAGCATTTACCCATTTACATTCAGAGTAACTATTGAAAGATATGAATTTAGTGCCATTTTCACTGCCTGTAAGGTCCTTGTTTCTGTAGATTGTCTCTGTTTCTTTCTGGTCTATGATGCCCTTAGGCTCTCTCTTTGCTTACAGGATCCCCTTTAATATTTATTGCAGGGCTGGTTTGGTGGTCACATATTCTTTCAGTTTTTGTCTGTCCTGGCAGCTCTTTATCTCTCCTTCCATTCTGAATGACAGCCTAGCTGGAAAAAGTATTCTTGGCTGCATATTCTTCTCATTTAGTACCCTGAATATATTTTGCCAGCCCCTTTCTGGCCTGCCAGGTTTCTGTGGATAGGTCTGAGGTTATTCTGATGTTCCTCCCTCTGTATGTAAGGTACCTCCTCTCCCTAGTTGTTCTCAGGATAGCTTCTTTTTCTCTAAGATTTGCAAGCTTCACTATTATATATCTTGGTGTTGATCATTTTTACTGATTTTGGGAGGAGTCCCCTCTGCCTTTTGACATGAATGCTTGTTTTCTCCCCCAGATTAGGGAAGTTCTTAGCTGTTTTGCTCAAATATACCTTTTGGTACTCTCTACACCTCCTCTGGACCCCGATGATTCTGACATTGGTTCTTTTCAAGGCATCATTAAATTCTCAAAGCCTTTCTTCATTTGCTATTAGTTGTTTATCTCTCTTTTCCTCAATGCACCTCTTTTCCATCAGCCTGTCCTCTAGATCACTTATTCTCTCTTCTGCCTCACTGACCCTAGCTGTTAGAGCTACCAATTTAGATTGCATCTCATTTCCAGCATTTTTAAGTTCGACCTGATTAGATCTCATTCCTGCCCTTAGAGATTCTGTATTGTCACTTATGCTTTTTTCAAGCCTAGCTGTTAACTTTACAATTGCTATCCTGAATTCCATCTCTGACATCTTACTTATATCCATATCTATTAGCTTTGTGGCAGAGAACATTGCCTCTGGTTCTTTCTTTTGTTGTGAATTCCTCCTTCTAGTCATTTTGCCCTGGGGAGGATGGTTGAGTGAATGAACAGAGTCCAAAATATCAACAGTGACCCAAACAAAGTGCACCATAGAAAAATCCGAAGTGGTCAGAAGCCACCACAGAAAAGAAAACAAAGGCAAAATGAAACAAAACAATATAAAATGTGGGGGGAATAGAGACTATAATTTTCCATGGTGAACAAAGCAGGGTGATCCGCTTGTTCCTGATTGAATTTTGTTCTGTGTATTAGAAGACACTACATCCCAAAATTACAAAGAAAGAAAAACTTATATATATATAATATATATATTTATCTTCTAATATATATAAAGTTGAATACAGTGAAAAAAGGACTAAAATGAAGCACATATGTATAAAGTGTAGATATGAAAAAATAAAGGTTTAAAAAGCAATTTAAAAACATACATTGGTAAAATAAGAATCTAGTTGAAACAGGAAAAAGGTAAAAAAAAAGAAATGGAAAATTTTAGAGATTTAATTTATTTATTTGTCAGAGAGAGAGAGAGGGAGAGCACAAGCATGGGGAGCGGCAGACCGAAGGAGAAGCAGGATTCCTGGTGAGCAAGGATTCTGATGTGGGACTCGATCCCAGGACTCTGGGATCATAACCTGAGCCAAAGGCAGGCGCATAACTCACTGAGCCACCCAGGCATCCTGAAATGGAAAATTTTAGACTGAAGGATAAACAAGTCGTGAGGAAACACCTGGAGGTCAGTATCCTATTTTCCCCTGGTGCTGAGTTTTACAGTCTTGTGAGATACATAAACTTGTCATTCACCTGTTCTTCCAGTCTGTCTTCTGGGGGAGGGGCCTGATGTGCGGCTTCTCAGGTGTCTTTGCCTGAGTTGCCGCATAGGGGAATTGGCTCAATGTAAGCTGGTTGTCTGTGTGCCTTTTGTTCCCTGGAGGCTTTCTGTGCCTCTTCAGAGGGTCAGAACAAAAATTGCCATGCCCAGATCACCAGCCCAGAGCCGCAAGATTGCGGTCCCCTATCTTCAATAAACCCTCTGGGTCAAAGAGTCTCCACTTCTGTGTGCACCAAACTCCGTAGATTGTCGTGGTTTGTGCTCACTGCAATCCTCCCAGGAGGGAGTCCCAGGGACCCCTGAACATCACTGTGTTTTGTGTCTTTGCGACTGCAAGAAGTTATGGGCTTGCACAAGCACCCTGCTCCAGTGATCCCAGGTCATGGCTGGTTGCTGCCCTACTGTCCTTTCTGGGTCTGCCACCACCCCAATAGCTGTTGCCCAATCATGGGCACAGCCATTTCATCCCTCCCAGGGGATGGTAAATGGCCTGTACATTCCAGTCCTTTTCAGGGTGCTCAGGCAAAGAGTGATCTCCCTACCAGCCCAGCTTATGGTTTATGGCAACTGGAGTTGAGAGTCCCTCCTGGGCTTGCTGACAATAACCAGTTTCCCCACTCCACTGCTTGGGCACTCTATTGGTTCAGGCACCCCCATTCTTTCTCTGTCTCCTGGGGTCCTGAGACCACAATGATCCACCTAGAATTTTGCCCTTTTCAGAAAGGGATGTCTCTCACTGGAGCAGTTTCCTAAGGGTTCCGATTTTGCACTCAGGTGTTATATCATGTTCCAGTAGCCAGTTTATGGAGGATCACTCCCCACTTCATTTATTTTCTGATATTTCTGTGTAGATTCATGACTCTATACTTCTTACCTGGCAAAAAGCAGTTGCTTTTCTGCTTGTAGAGTTCCAGATATATTTTCTTACATCTCAGTCTGTTTTCATAGCTATTCAGAATGGTTTGATAGATATCCAGCTAAACTTGAGGGACCAGATGAAACGAGATCCTGTACTCTTCAGCCATCTTGCCTCCCTCCTTAAGAAATAATTTCTATGTAACTATAGTTTTTGCTACTATTGTGAAAGGTATTGTATATCCCATTATAAATTCTATTTAGTTATTGCTGGTGTGGAGAAGCACTATTAGTTTTACAAGTTTATCTGTATGAACAAACTTGTAAACCTCTTTACTGGTCCTAAAATTTGCTAATTTGGTTAGTTTTTTCCATTCATGTGATCATGTCAAATGCAAATATTAAAAATTTATTTTTTCTCTTATAAATCTTCCAATTCTCATACTTCTTTATTTTTGTTTTATAATACCACCTAAGTTTAATTTTGATCAATAAGGTGAGATGTGAAAACAATCCAAATGAAAATGAGGACTTTGTCATAAAGTCGAAAGGACAGACTTTGGATTTTACTCTGGATTTTAGTTGTAAATCAGATATAAGCTAAAACTACACTGTGCTTTGAGATTTACATATAATTAACTCAGCCTCTTACAGAAATTCTCTAAGATTTTGATCAATTTTCAGGGCATTACACTTTCATGACTTTGAGACAAACACATGACTTTGAGATCTTGCATCCCATGAATTATCTTACTCAATTTTGTCTCCTGCCCTATCCTCTTCTTTCTATCAGCACCAACAGTGACATAGAATTTGGTCCCCATTCTTTGACTTCCTACAGCTGTAATTCATGTAGCCAACTTTACTCAAGGTGTGGAGTAATAGAAGAAACTTACATTAAAGAAACACAAATAAAATAAAATATGAATATTCTTGTACTTAAAAGTACTTCAGTACATTGCTGGTAAGAATGTAAAATAATACAATCACTCTGAAAAAGAATTTTAGACTGAAGGATAGAATTTGGAAGTTTGGAAAAGAATTTGGAAGTTTCTTGTAAAACTAAACATGCAACTGCTATTCAATTCAGCAATTGGACCATTGGCAATTATTCCAGAGAAATGAAACACAAAAATCTGTACATATATGTTTATAGCAGCTTTATTCATAATAAGTAAAAACTGGAAATAATCTAGATGTCCTAGACCAAAATATGAAAGTAGAAAACAGCAGAAATCAGGGTTGAATACTGTAGAGACAGGCAGCTAGTGAAAGAGGAGGTGTTAAGAGTGAATAGTTAAAAAATACTGTGATTACATCCTTACCACTAACTAGTATTTAGCAACAGAAAGGAATGAATTACTGATATATGCAGCAACTTGATCGATCTCCAAGTAATTGTGATTTATAAAAAAAAGCCAATCCCCAACTATTACATACTGTATAATTCCATTTATATGTTCTTGAAATGACAAAAGTATAGATATAGAGAATAGTGGTTATCAGGGCTTAAAAACAAGTGTATGTGGGTTGTGAGGCAGCTGTGTGTGGTTATAAAAAGCAACATGAAGAATCCTTGTTGGGATGGAACTGTTTTGTATCCTGACTGTGGTGAGATATATATATATAAAACCTACACATGTGATAAAATTGCATAGAATTAAATACACACACATGCACACAAGTACAAGCAAAACTGGGAAATCTGAATAAGATCAGTGAGTTGAATCAATGTCAATATCCTGGTTGTTGTATTGTCCTATAGTTTTGCAAGATGTTATCACTGGGAAATTGGGTAAAGGGTACATAGGATAACTCTGTATTGTTTGTTATAACAGCATATGAGTCTTCAATTATCTCTAAATAAAATATTTAACTTAAAAAAAAAAGAATAAGCCATCCTGACACTAAAAGTACTTACTTTCTCTGCAGACTTAACCCAGCCTTTTCTCTTCACTTTTCTTTCCTCTCTCACTTCCAAATTCCCTATTTTATTATCATTCAGTTTAGTATCTCTGTGTTTTTTTTTCTCTTTTCAAATGTTTTATTTATTTATTCATGAGAGTCAGAGAGAGAGAGAGAGAGAGAGGCAGAGACAGAGGGAGAAGCAGTCTCCCCGCCTAGCAGGGAGCCTGATGCGGGACTCGATCCCAGGACCCCGGGATCATGACCTGAGCTGAAGGCAGACACTTAACCATCTGAACCACCCAGGCGCCCATTATCTCTGTGTTTTATTGTGTTCTCCCAATGTATACTCTCAGGATCCCAACTTCTACACCCAAAGCAGCTTCTCAGACACTTTCCTAAGCAATCATAAGCTGGCCTGCACAGGCAGCTTTTATTTCTATTCTGTTACATTCAACATGAAGAGACCACTTGCATTAAATCATTCATTCAAAATGTTTGAATAAAAATTTTATAGAAAATAAGGAGGAGGATGCACAGTGTACACTCTAAGAATCCACAAGAGATATCTCTTACTAATTCTCTTTCCTCATCCTTAAAATTGCCAGGTCTTTTCTCTTTTCCATTTCCATCCAAAGATCAGCCTACTGTCACTTAACTTCTCTCTCTTCCTTTCTGGTGAGCAATCCCATCTTTGCCTCCATTTTCCCACCCCCTCTGTCTGATTTTTTTCCAACTCTTTCTGCAGAACAATTTGATTTTCTTGCAGTTTCTACCTCCAAAATCGCAAACTTCTTTTCTTCACAATACTCAGTAAAAAGGTTCTTCTCACACTTAGACTTCATCCTCCTTAGAAAGCACAAAGGGAATATAAATATGTACTTTTTTCTTTCACAGAAAACTCTTTTCCCTCTCAGTAAAAAATAAATTTTCAATTTAAAAATTTAAACCTTAATTTAAAAAACTTGTTTAAATTCAATTAACCAAGGTATAATACGTTATTAGTTTTTGATATAATGTTCAATGATTGATTAGTTCAGTATAACACCCAGTGCTGACCATTTCACGTGCCCTCTTAAAAAACTTCTTTTAAATTAGTTTTATTATACCACATGGGCAATCATATTTCTAAAATTCTCATTAAATGATGGATAAAATTTGATGGATAGAGACTATCACAAGTATTTCTATGTAATTAGGCAGCATAAATATAAGCTCAGCTTGTAATGGTGATCATTGTTTCAATGTACCAACATGGTCCAGATAATTCTGGAATACTGTTTTTCACTGTAGCCAAACAACATTCCAAAAGACAAAGCTCACAAGAATACCTATCTTCTCAAACTATTCCAAAAATAGAAGAGGGGAAAGGAGTTAAGATGGCAAAGTAGTAGGGGGACTTATGTTTGCCTCATCTCTCAAACACAGCTAGATAAATATAAAATCATTCTGAACACCTAAGAAATCTATCTGAGGACTGAGAGAATAAGCTGCACATCTAGAGGGAGAAAAACAGCCACATCATGGAAGGTAGGAGCTGTGGAGAGTTGATTTAAGGGAGAAAAGAATTGTGTATTCTGTGGAGGGGAAGGAGCCTTGATCACAGAGAGAGGAGAGAGAGAAAGAAAGAGAGAAAGCAGCATGTAGGGGATTGCACAAGAAAAACTCTTCCCCAAAACCATTGACTGGGAAAAGAAGAATGGCTGATGATTGCAAGTTTTTACAAGCAACAGAGCTCAAAGTCTGAAATTTTAGAAGACTGTGCCATTGCCAGGGTCATGCCTGGGGGCTTAGCAGTGCTCCTGTAAGGAAAAGGGCAGAGGCAGAGCTGACAGCATGGTCTGAGGATCTCCTGGGTCACTCCAGGAAAAACAGTTCACACACCAAAACAAAACAGGAGAGTGCACACTCTGAAACACTTCTTGAAGTGCCATGCCTTGGACAGTATAAGACCTCTTCTTAAGATAGCCATTACTCTCAGGAGCAGAAAATATAACAGGTGTTCCTAACACACACACACACACACACAAACAGTGACCTAGACAAAATGCCAAGATGGAGAAATTCACCCCAAAAGAAAGAAAATGAAGAGGTGACAACCAGGAATCTATCAAAACAGATATAAGCAATATGCCTGAACCAGA